TATGCTTATTCAGGTGTGGTGAGGTCAGCAGATTAATACTCAGGTGCCATTGAAAAGATAGTTTGTTAGTCACAGTTCCAGAAAAGAGAAAGCAGCCCACATGGGGCCACACAGGGAAACGCCAGGATTGGTTTGGAGGTGGTGGTGGGGAGACAGGGGTGTTTATTGTGGTTTTCATGGGAAGGAACAAGAGTAGCTGGCTAAGTGGGCTAAGTGGGGTTAGGATGGTCTAGTTTGAATGTTTTGTGGGCTTTAGGAAGAAGTGACTGCCTGATGCCCAGTCTGGGGCTGGCTAGGGGAGAAGAATAGAGGCCCTGAGTAGAAGAATCTGAATTGGAGGTAGGTGTGGGGTACTGACTCTGGACTAGTTAAATCTTGCATGAAAGGCACACTCTCAGGGAAGTCATTTACTGATTCTCAGAACTGGCCAGCCCTGGCTAGGGCAGGTGCTCTAGATTGGCAAGTTTCCAACGAGAAAATGTCAGAAATGCATGATTATTTCTACAACCTCCAAATGACAAGGCATGCCACTGTGTTCACCACTCAATTAATTAGGTTTCTGTTACAGTCACAAAATTCCTGGGACTAAATAATCTACAATGAAAAGAGATTTATTTTGTTCACCATTTGTAGGTTCTAAGGCATGGCTCTGGTGAGGACCTCGTGGCAGGTGGCATGACAGCAGGAGCACATATGTAAAGAAGAGGTCACATCACAAAGCCAGACCAAAGTGGGGGAACCAGGTTTGCTCTTTTCGTAAGAACCCTCTCCAGAGTATGCACCTAGGGGTCCTAGGAAAACCACCTTCATCCTTTCCAAGAGCAGTGCCTTCCATGACCTGAGCACCCACTAGCCTCTGACTCTCCAAGGTCCATCCTCCCAACATCAACACACTAGAGACTTTGGTGGACAAACCACAGCATCAGATTAGAGGGATATTCCACTGCCATAGAGCAGGTAAGGAAGGATGGATCTGTAGCTGAGATACAACACTATAACTAGCACACCTACACAGAGATTAATTACCCTGCTTGAAGACTTTTAACCAGTTGAGTTCATCTCTTCTTTCTTCAATTCATTATTTCTGCCATTCATAACATCATCTTTAGAAAATGGATCCCCCCCTTTCCTTGTACCCCTGTAACAGTCTTTTACTTCCCAGTGTTCCTCTGACCCAAATAATCAGTTTAACTATAATGTGGATATTTCATTTCTTTGCCATAGATTGGTCTGGAGAAGGAAAGGTCAGTTTGGGTGAGCAGGGAGAGGTTTTCTAGGAGCTTTGAGGGTGACCTTATTAATGTCTCTTCATTTGACCTGAACTAGGACATGCTCAGGGATGCTGGGAGCCATCATGTGGTTATTCAGGAGCCCTGCTCAGAGCAATGCCAGCCAAAGGATAAAGCCAAGAGAATAGCTGAGGAAAGTAGCCCACTTAGAACCTTTGGCCTGTCTCTGAATTTCCTGTTGCTTTAGATAATACCCTTATGATTCAAAGCTATTTTAGATTTCAAGGAATTCCTTGAATCCCTTTAGATTTACTTAAATGCAAAAGCATCACAATTGATACAGGCTTCTGTAATCTTATTCATACTTCTGCTATGTTATCGTTCTTCAGTACAATGATTTATTCTACGCTTATCTTCCCAACTAGGCTTCGTACACTTTGCCTTAGATTTATTTTAGTTATCTTAATCTTTCTAGTTTTGTACATCATCCCTGGTACATGAAAGTTGCTAGGTACACGTTGGCTGACTGTGTGAATGGCATTACCCATTGCAACCCGAGAACAGAGGCTGCAGGACTCACATGAAACTGTTCACATCCTTTTGAAGCCGAAAGTATACGGGAAACTGTGATGCACTGTAGGGAAAACTCCAGAAATAAAATGCACTTGAGAGTAATATGGATGGAATATCTAAACCAAAGTATGGCACAAGCCCTTTATCTTTCTCTGGACAGGATCTCTCCAAAAAGCTGATGGGTATATTTTGCACTAACATCCCTTAAATCTGAGTTACTTCTTGGTAAATTAACCTCATGGAGCTCCACTACTTGTTTTAGGAAAACCAGGTCTCATTAGTGACAGCAGCAGAGATGAATATATCAGTGATGCTCTATGTTTAGACTGAAGAACAGCCACAGAACATTGAAGTGATGTGAGCATAGAGACAGCAGTGGAGCAAGAAAGGAAAATAAAAGGCAAGGAGAGAAAGAGCAGGACAAGAAGGGGGAGACATGCAAGAGGAACCCTAAAAACAAAAAGAATTTCATTCATTTATATTTATTCGGTACTTTCTATGTACCAGGCTTTGGTAGACTCTGAAGTGTTTTTTTTTTTAATAAAAGATTTATTTGAAGGTGGGGAAAGGAGAAAGAGAGAGGAACGGAGGGAGGGAAGTTGTGGGGGGCACTCTGGACAAGCAGGGAGTATTCGGAAGGGAAAAACTCCAACTCTGGAGTTATGAAGAACAAGATTGATGTGGACCTTTCAGGGAGCTTGCAGTCCACTGAAGGGAACAGACAAGAAATAAATAATTATCAATTTGTAATCATTGCAAGCTCTTCAAAAATAAAAGTGACTACTAATACCCAGAGGCCAGGAGAGCAGGATGTGAAACTGGGCAGGAATATGTGATGAACTAAGAACATACATGCTCTTATTCTATTCAGAGGCAAAGACTCTGGTGCTCAAAATAGCTGCTGCTGCTTATGAATTTAGACCAGGTGCAGGAGTATACACCTCTAATTCCAGCCACTCAGAAGGCTGAGGCAAAATGATGTCAAGTTTGAGGCTAGCCTGCACAATTTAGCCATACCTTGTCTCAAAATATTAAATAAATGCGAATATAGCTCAGTGGTAGAGTGTTAGCCTAGTATGCATGAGACCATGGGTTCCAGCTCCAGTACAGGGGTGGCTTTGGGGGGGGGGGCAGTTCCTAGGTCATTTTTTCCGAGTCTTGGAGAAAAGCATACAGGAAATGGGAACCAATATAGTTTAGGAAGCTCAGACCTGCTGTTGGGAAACCAGTGTGAGACTGGTCAGATTTGGTGGCTAGCAACAAAGCCAAAGAAATCTGGGAATCCACAACTGTGTGAGGCACATCTCTGGAGCAAGAATGGAAACAGAATGTCCAAGCCATCCTGGGCCAATAGAATGAGATCACATCTCAACTAAAAAAAAACAGTGCCCTAGTGTCTCAGTAGTTTATAGGTGAAAAGAAATATAGTACCTAAGGAACACCTTTATTAAGAAGTTAGGTCCAGGGCCGGGGATTTGGCTCAGTGGTGCTACCACCAGCCTCGCAAGCACAAGGTCCCAAGTTCGATCCCTCGTGCCAAAGAGAAAAGAAAAAAAGTTAGGTCCACATAACATAGTAAGCACTTATGCTTGAACAATTAGTCATTATTTGAAAATATATACAGTACTTACTGGGGGAGAGAGTCTCTGGTATAGCACGTGCTCAGTGTACATGAGACCCAGGTTTCAATCCCTAGCACAGAAACAGAAGAGAAAGAAGAGAAAAGGAGGAAATAAGGTAGGAAGGAATTGTGGAACTTATAAATTAAAGAAAACTAATATTTTTATTTCCTTCCTAATAACCACAATTACCAGATTAGACACCACTGCCCTCATTTCCTGTTTTTTACTGATTTTTGTGTGGTTTTATCAGTTGTTGAAAACTCAGCTTTGCAAAAGAAATGTAATGAGCGGTCAAATGTTGAAAGTGAACTATCTTCAGTTCACAATCAAGATTTTTTTGACAGATAAACCTTTCCTTTTCAAAAAATTTGTAAAATACCTCACTGTGCCCCCCTCAGCCCATGCATTCACTCTGGGCCCTCAGGGCACCAAGGAATGAAATTTGATTCAGAAACTATCTTGATTTTGAAACAGATCCATGCTTAAAACTGTGTGAATCCACTGCAGGGTTTTTCAGCCTGGGAGCACAATTCACCCAGTAGCACAAATCTCCACAACCAGGAAAGCCAGTGGATGCTGAATCTGCCTCTCCTGCCCTTGGTGGCAGAGTGACATAGCTCACCTATGCCTGACTAGCACTCTGCCTCTGAAGGCTTTAAGTGGACAAATAAAATACTATAGACAGAAAATGGTATTTCCGGTCCAAATGAGTTTCATGAGGGTTGCAGAAATCACTACATTTCTCTACGATTGCCTGCCTCAGGAAAAACTGAGGTGACACAGAAAGTGTGGGATTTCTACAAAACTGATGCAAAGGTAGGGTAAAGGGGTTGAGGCTCAATGGAAGAACATGTTGACTAGATCTGAGTTCAATCCCCAGCAGGCCAAAAAACAAAACAAAACTAATCCTAAACCATGTGTGATGGTACACATTCATAATCCCTGCACTCGGAAAGGCTGAGGCAGGAGGACCACAAGTTCAAAGCCAGCCTGGACAATTTACCAAGACCAAAAGAGCTGGAAATGTAGCTCAGAGCAAAGGTTCTGGGTTCAATCCCAGCACTGAAACACACCACACACACACTTCAATCCCAGCACTGAAACACACCACACACACACACTTCAATCCCAGCACTGAAACACACCACACACACACACACACACACACACACACACACACACACACATACGGGCACTTAGCCATCTAATTCCATCGCTCTCACCACTGCAGACTTCCTTCTACACTGGTGGACGAATTCACCGGAAAGGTCTGGTAAATAGCTTTAGGTAGAAACGTTTTCAAAATAAGACATGGACTCCTGCAATGTCTCTGAGATAGATTCATCATGTCCACTGTTCAAAAGTTGAATTGTGGGAATTTTTTCAAGTGATGAAAATGTTTTATATCTCAATAGGGATGTGGATGGTAGATGAATAAGTCAAAAGACATGTAATCGTGGGTAAATGGGTAACACGATACAGTAAAAGTTAACGACAGAACCTAGGTGGTGAATAAAGAAATGTCCACTGTAAAATTGTTTCAAATTTTTACGCACGTTTAAACGAGAGTTCTGCACTGCAGACAGCTGGGTGAGCCCTCGCGGGCGACCTCCACCCCCTAGCTAGCTGGACCCCACTCGGTGCAGTTCTGCCCGGAGCAGCTGCGCACCGCCGAGCCCTTCCGAGTCCCGGCCCCTCGTCGTGCAGCTCCGCCCCTGCAGCTCCGCCCCGCTCGCCGCCGCCCTTCGCGTCTCTGTTTAGTCGTCAGTCTGTCTGACCTTCGGCGGAGCGACTCGGGCGACCCGCATTCCGGCCGGGATGGCGGCGCCTGTCACGCGGCAGGTCCGCGGAGGCGCGGTCCCGGGCCCGCGCCCGCCTCCTGTCGCTGTCGGCCCCGAGGGGCTGCCCCTGGCGGCGGGGGTGGCCGAGCTTCCGCTGCTGGACGCGCGCGGGCGGCGGGTGCAGTTCGGGGCGCTGTTCCGGGAGCGTCGCGCCGTGGTGGTGCTCGTGCGGCATTTCCTCTGCTACGTCTGCAAGGAGTACGTGGAAGACCTGGCCAAGATCCCCAAGAGCTTCTTAGAGGCAAGTTTAACTAGGACGCGGTGGGGGACGTGTGGTGCCTCCACAGCCAGGTGTCGCCTGCACCTCCACAAGGGACAGACAGGGTACACACCTGCGTGCTTCCTTACTCGTTGCTGCGTATTTCTAAGCGTGCTAATCCCTGGGAAACTGAGACGGGAGGATCCCAAATTCAAGCCCAGACTGGGCAATTTAGCGACTTATCGAGTCGTTGCCTGAAAATAAAAAGGACGAAATGTAGGGCAGTGCGAAGTCCCTAATTCATTCCCCAGTACCGAAAAAAAAAAAAAAAGAACTGTACATAATAACTTTGATGCTTTGATGTTACCTGGTAACCTCTCTATTCTCAGACATCAGATGATAGTGCCCGAAAGCAAATGCTGGACAGTATTGGTACTCCCCTTTGTTTTGTGTTACCCTCCAAATAGCTGTTCATTTATGAAACACAAGCACACTAATATATCTTAAGGGTGCCAGTTTATATTTATCAATACGCTTCAACTTCCCTGCCCTTTGCTTTTTTCTGTGGGCATAGGTGGGTGTGGCCCTGGTTGAGCTTTTTGTTTTACCAGATTGAGTTTTTCTGTGCTGGGGCTCAAACCCAGGGTCCCACAAGGCAAGCTCTCCACCCCTGAACTGCACCCCGAGCCTTAGGAGGACTTTTTGGGTGAAAGCATTGGGGAGCCTTAGTAAAACTCAAGTCTACTCTGAGCAGATTTTATTAATTAGAATGTGAAAAAATAAAATTGATTAGCCCAACTTTGTTAGTTTTTATTTTTATGTGTGTGGTTTTTAAAGAACATTTAAAATGTATTAGCAATGGTTAAAGTATCCAAACATTATTATTAACTGTGGTCAGCTTACTGGATTTCTACAACGTTTTCTTCATCTAACCAGAAACTTCATACCCTTTGAACAACATCTCTCCATTCTCCATCCCCTTTTCGCCTGTCCTCTGGTAACAGCTATTCTTCTGTCTAATTTTTTATTCCATTTACTAAGTGAGATGATGCTCTACTCATCTTGCTGGGCCTGGCTTATTTCACTTAGTATAACAATCCTTTTTTTTTGGTCACAAACTTTGCTATTTGTATGTTGTCTCTCTTTTTGAGACAGGGTCTCACTGAAGTTCAGATTGGCCTCGAACTCATAGCGATCCTCCTGCCTCAGCCTGCCAAGTGCTAGAATTACAGGTGTGAGCCACCATGCCCAGCTGTATGTTATCTTGAGAAATGTCTGTTCAATCTTTTGCAGGGTTTTGGTTTTGGGATTGAGCCCAGGACCCCATGCCTTACAGGCAAGTGCTCTTGCTGACACACATTCCTAGCCCACTTTTGTCCATTTTAAATCAGATTATTTATTTTCTTGCCCTGAAGTTGAGTCCTTATAGTTTTGGGGTTTTAGTCTCTTACTAGATGTCTATTATGGAGGTTTTTCTTCCCAGTCCGGGAGTTGGCTCTTGATTCTGTTGTTTCCTTTGCTGTGCACAATCTGTATAGTTTGATACGATCTCCTTTGTTATAGGGGAACAGGAAAGGGGACAATGCCAGAACCTCTACTTTGGGTTCTGGCCTCCTGTAAGCTACCGCAGCACAAGGCAAAAAAAATAAAGACAGAGACTAGACTTAGAATGAAGAAGCTGAGACTTTGGGGCATGATCAGTGCTGCTGATGGCAGCAAAGACAAAGTCCCCCAAGTGCATCCAGTATTTATTGAATACAGTCATGGGAAGGAATAGGGAGCTAGGTATGCTTTGAAGGCATCTAGTGAAATACTGCCGAACATCTGGCATGATGGCGCCAGGCAGGGCTGTTAGGGAGTAAGCACTGCTTATTTTGCTTAGATAGAACAAATAGGTACTGGGACTGGGTACAATTACCAAGCAATCCATCAGGTCAGGGAGAAGCCATACTTCAGGGGAAAGGATTTTAATTGGGGTCATGCTGATCTGAGCCGCATTTAACTCTGCAGAGCCCTGCCAATTCATAGAGTGGGGCCTAGGTTTCCATGGCAGCCATTGAAAGAGGGGCTGTACTTGCCCAGTCTGCCATCTGAGATGCCCATTTGAGTCACATAGAGCTTTGGTCAAACTCCTGATATAAAACAGTATAGCTGAATTATGGAAAGCAAGAAGCAGGTGCCATTCACAGCCCACTAGTACTGGGCTGGGATGTCTGCTACAATTTGTCAGTTTTTGTTTTTGTTGCCTTTGTTTCTGGGGTCACATGCAAGAAAGTATTACCTGAACAGAAGACACAGAGCTTTACTCCTATGTTTTTTTCTAGTAGTTTTATAGATTCAGATTTTTTTTTTCTCACAGATTCAGTTCTTCACTTAGCAAAAGAATCATGTGGATTAATCAAACATTTTAGGAAATGTTTCTTGCTTTGATTCACAGTTGTTTTTTGTTTTGGGGGCTTATTTTGGTACCAGGGATCAAACTCTGGACCTTGTGCTTTCGAGGCAAGCGACGGAACCGCTGAGCTAAATCCCCTGCCCTTGTCTCAGTTTTCCTGTTCATTCCATTCTTGTAGAAGCCTATAGGTGGCATTAAAATAAAATGAGAGTCAAATTAGAGGAAGTTGTATAAAATGTAATTTATAATAATGCCTCTGTGTTCTTTTTTCTTTTTTCCTAAAGGAAGCAGACATCACCCTTATAGTGATTGGACAATCATCCTACCATCATATTGAGGTAAATATCTAGGAAATGGGGGCTATAACAGGTCAAATGTGTTTCATTCAGAAAAATTGCATTATTTGAACCATTGAGTATAGGCTACATTGGGTCAGGGATTTAGCTCAGTGGTTCTCCTGCCTGCCTCGAAAGCACAAAGTCCTGAATTTGATCCCTGGTACCAAAAAAAAAAAAAAAAAAAAAAAAAAAAGAGTATAGGCTACATTGGCTAAAAGTAGATATCATCGCTTGTTCTTAAAAAAATTCCAACTGTTCTCTCTTCAGCCATTCTGCAAACTGACTGGATATTCCCATGAAATCTATGTTGATCCTGAGAGAGAAATTTATAAAAGACTGGGAATGAAAAGAGGTGAAGAAATTGCCTCTTCGGGTAAGATATAACAGGTCTCAGATACAATAGGATAATGGTTTATTTTTTCATATATATATATATATGCGTGCATGGAGAAGCAAATAGCAGTTTCACAATTAGGCTGTATTTTGTGATTCTAGTAA